TTCTAGGAGAGAGAGAGAGAGACAGCGTGAGCAGGGGAGGGTCAGAGAGAGAGGGAGTCACAGACTGAAACAGGCTCCAGGCTCCGAGCCGGCAGTCAGCACAGAGCCCGACGCGGGGCTCGAACCCACGAACCGCGAGATCATGACCCAAGCGAAAGTCGGACGCTCAACCGACTAAGCCACCCAGGCGCCCCGACTTGATCAGAAGTCCTAACAGGGTGTCCGCAGGGTCGTCCCGCGGCCTCGGGGGCTCCAGGGGAAGGTCCTCCCTGCCCGCCTCTGTCCCCACGCGGCCTCCCCCCTGTCTCTATGTCCCTCTGACAGAGCCAGCTGTCTTTGCACTTCGAGCCAGCCTTAAATCCAGGACGATCTCATTACAAGGCTCTTAGCTACTCACCTCTGCAAAGACCTTATTTCCAAACAAGGCCGCGTTCTGGGTGGACGTGGATTTGGGGGGACACCTTGATCCCACAGTGAGCCACTTCACGGGCGGGGCAGGAACGTGCTTCTCCCGGCTGGCGGCCGAGACCCAGCCCGAGGTGGGAGCAGGTGGGGTGCAGCCTGGGGAGAGGAGCACGTCCTTGTTTCCGGTCCCCCGGGGAGTGGGGCCTGCTGCCGAGGGCCCGGCCGGAGCAGCTGTGCCGAGGGCCCCACCGTCCAAGGAGCGCCTCCCCCCTGCCCGCTCCTGCAGGGTCGCGCGCGGCTCCTGGAATGGGCTCCCTTGATTTGCTGATTTCATCCTCATGCAGCTGGACAGTGTAGGTGACTTCACAGATGGGGAGACCGAGGCACGGGCTCCGGGCCAGGTGGCCGGGCTCAGCAGGTGGCCGGGAGGGGTGACGAGCCTGGAGCGAGCGCGGGGCGGCACTGCCCGGGAGATAGCCTGGGGGCTGTGTGGCTCTCAGTGGGTCCCCAGACCTGCGACCTCAGCATCGCCTGGGAACTGGCCAGACGCGTGGGACCCTCTCAGACAACTGAGTCAGAAACTCGAGGGCGGAGAAGGGGGTAACAAACCTTCTGGGGGATTCCGGTGCCTGCTCAAGTTTGGGAAACACTGGTGACGCGACTCTGGGGTTCGAGAGATTGGAGTTGAGATCCCAAGCGTGCCCTTGACTAACCACAACTTTGTGCACATCCCCTCACATAGCAAAGCCTCAGCTTCGCCATCTGTGAAATGGGGTGATGAGTGAGGCCATCTCCTGGGCCAGGTTTTGAGAGTTATCTTAGATAGGTCGGCACTAAAGAGAGAGCCCAGCCGACAGGGTTTCCTGTCTGCCCCAGGCCCTTTGCACCTTCCTGCTCTGATGGTGGCTATAGGTGCAGGGAAGTCACATCGGAGGTGTGGGCTTTCCTGTGGGGGCCGCCTCGGGGGCTGGTGTGCTCTGAGCCCCAGCCACAACGTCACCAAGGAGACAGGCTCCCGGGCGGTCCCAGCCGACTGTCCTGGGGCTGCCTGGGGCCAGGTGGGGCTGGGAGGGAAGGGGACCAGGAGACGGAGACTGTGTCCAGCGTTGGTGGCTTGGTCATGTGTTTTAAGGACTGTTTTTTTAGAACAGTTTTAGACTTACAGAAAGTGCAGTTTCAAGTCTACAGTTTCACGTAGAAATAACACACTGGCCCCTTCCCCGGGGTCAGCAGATCCGTTCCAGTGGGTTATTGGAACTGAAGCCCGTGCTTTGTTTGGGTTTTCCTCCGTTGCCCCTCACGCGCCTCTGCTGGCCCAGCGGCCCACCGTCCCACTGTCAATGACTTGTCACGTCTCCTCTGTCCCCTCTGCTCGTGAGGGTTTCTCAGAAGCTCCTGTCCTTGTGACCTTGACCGTCTGGAGGAGGACTGGCCAGCTGTTTGGGAGGACGGCCCACTGGTGGGGTTTTAATGTCCTCTGCTGAGCAGGTGACGACGGTGATGGTGGGGACAGGAGACACGGGCACGCCCTCCCCCCCCCACTGCCCAGGGCATTTTCCCCAGTTCCCTTGCAGGGGGTCTCAGAGCCTCTCCTGCACGCGGCCGGTGACCCAGGCATGGGGTGGCAGTCCCGAAGCCCCTTTTTCTGATTGGTATCAGGAGGCCCGTGACTCTCTGCGGGTCCCAGCGAAGACGGGAGTCGCACTCCACGCCCGTCAGGGCAGACCCGGGGTGCCAGCCGTCCGATGCTGCCGGCGGGGCCCGTCCAGGGGCTGCTCATTGCACGAACATGGATGGCATCCCCACCGTGTGCCGACCCAGGGCCCGACACAGGGCTTAGCCGAGAGCAAGGCAGCCATGCAGCCGGGAGAGAGAGGGAGAGTTGAACGTTCCGGAACCCCGGCCGTGTGCTGACAGCCCGTGCTGGGACAGAGACCAGCAGCCCGGCCCCTGGCAGCCAGCAAGCCTGTGAGAGCTGGTCTGGGCGGGGGGCGGGGGGGGAGGGAAAGGACAGCAGTGGGGACAACGGCAGATTCTCAAGGAGAGAAGCAGCCGGTGGGGGGGGGGGGGGTTTGGGGTTTACTCCAGTGGGGTCTGGGAGTTCCATGCAAAGGGAGGGATAATGGCATCCATTCGGCCGCTACATTTTGAGCAATTTTCAGAACGAGTGGGGGGCTTTATACCTTTGAAAGGAAAGTGACATTGTGGGGCTCACATCGAGGCAGAAGGTGGCCAAGGTCAATGTCTTTGTTTACTGGGCTTTAGTGTTTCTGCCTGTACAGTGGGCTGCAGCGTCCCGTCCATGGGGATCCGGGGGGACCCTAACCTCGCTGCCTACCCCTGCCCCCCCT